GTCCAGTCTCTGGTATTTGGAATTTAGGCGGCAGTCCTTGGTTTTGGATGGATCACTGGGTGTGTGGGCACAATCCATGCTTTAACCAGATTTGAACAGAAGGATGGCCACTTGGCCCAGGTAGAAATAGATGAAGTGCTTAGTTTCATGTGTCACATAACTACCAAAGTTTCTGCCCACAATGCAGTGCCAAGTGGGATTGTACTTCTTGTCAAACTCCTTCTTGATGTGGGCCGCAATGTCCTTCTCGATGTTGTATTTCTCCAGCGCCTGAATCGCGCACTCCACCGAGTCCTGTTGCATCTCCTCCGACATGTCGGCATTTTTGATCACGGCCTTTCGGTCGCACATGGTTACCGTGAAGCGCGCGGACTAGCCGACTGCGACGGTCCTGGGGGAGGGGGTTAGAGCAGCTCAAACACAGCGAGAGCCGTCGCTACCGAAGCCGTGGCGCATCTCGAATTTGACATTTTCATACCCAATGGCAACACATCAATTAAGCCCTCTGCCCGACCTTCAATTTCAATTTCCTATTTTGTTTAGAAAATCGTCTATGTCCAGTTATTAACTCTCTCAATTTGTGCTTAAAGCTAATGTAATTTGCTATGTTCCATCATTATAATGAGGAAAATGAGGAAAAATCCAAAATTTATCTTCATTTGCATTCTTTCCCAGGGTGCTGTGTAGTGATTTTGAACTTCTTAAAAATGATTGCTCCTTCATCCTGGTATTACCCTTCATTTCAAAGATTAGTATCATTTCTTCTCTAACACTTCTCATTCAACAAACGACTATTTACTGAGGACCCTAGTTTATATGACATGTTCCAAGAGGTGAAGGCCGTGGAAAGTAACGTTTACTTATATTCCAGTTAGTGGTGTAAGAAGTTTATGCATATAGTCTTTTGTTGTATTAATTACTTGTAAAGCCTTTCGACTTACACATTACTCTTTGTTTCCTGAGAAAGAAACTCTTTCATTATTCCCTTAGTCAAGCCGTAAACAACTGTTCCGTGATTAGAAAATGGAATTATAGTTTTTTGTTTCACTTTCCTCCAGTTTCCTTGGTCCTTTCCCTCAAGTGTCTTATTTCACTACTGTGCCTCTGATATTTAGTATCATCTCATTTGTAATAGTAGATGAATTATCTCTGAGACCAGATTATAAATCCTTCATGGGAAGGAACCATATTTGATGCTTTGCCATCCTCTAGAAGGTTGCTCAGTTAACATGTGTTGGAATAGAGGCAATCCTTTTATCATGTTCTACTCAAGTAAATAAAAGCATCATCCTAATGAGTCAGAGATAAGACAATGGTGCATATGCCCTTCTTTAATGTATGTGCTTAACAAAGAAGTCAGAAAAAGAGGGCAAATGCCACTTTAAAGAATCAAAAATGAAGGATTTATTTTTAATCTATGTTTTATCCCAGATATTATTTCTTAGATAAAGTGTCCTTGCCACAACCCAAGCCTCGTATTTTTAGAGCCAGTCCTGTAGCTGAAGCCCCTGTGCAGAATCCTACTGCAAAATGTCTCCAGCCTTCCCGCTGTGCAAGGAGCAGGCATCTTAAAGAAACTGTTCCATTAGTGATAAAAAGCAAACCTGGCCTTCAAATATTACCTTGCATTTCACTTTGGAATGTGTAACTCTCTGACAAGACTTCTTTGTTTGCCTCATTTAGCAGTAGGTTGGCTGCTGTATACATTGCTATACTTAACATTTGTTATCAACTTAGTTTGACAGCTTAAATCTAGCATAATGATGTGGAAATATAAACAAATGTTAAATGCACTTTTGCATTCCAATTGGTCTTTTTCATTCCTTCCCCCCCCAAAAAAACCCCAAAAACTTACTCTTAAAGCCAGTCCTGCACAAAGAATGTAGAATCTGAAAAGAGATTTTTTTTTCTTTCAATTATATGATGTGATTGTGTAGATCTAGTAATCCAATTTGACACACTATTTTGGTTACTCTCAGCTTAAACCAACTTAGATATGGGTTTTGACCTGGAGTGACCTTGTTGGCTTCGCAAAGGATTGTTTCAATAAGCAGATGGATCATTTTGCCAAAGAGAATTTTTAAAAATTAAAAATAGTCATTAAGGTCCACCTATGCCTTCTGTGCCAAAGAGCAATAAATTTGAATAACATAAAGTTTCAAACCATTGGGAATATAGACTTCTGTCTTAAATTGGCTTGTTTATTACTGTCCTTTTGTTGTATGTTAAAAAAAAATTTTTTTTTGCACCATTAGGCTGAATAACCACAAACCTCCAATTATAGGTTTCTTGGAAGCATTTGACATCTTGCATCTAGTGTTTCTTATTGGCAGCCTTCTTGAGCAATAGGCAATCATTTTTTATTTATTTGTTGTAGTTGTTCTATTAGCATAATTTTTATGATTTTTTTTTGCACAAGTATCTGCCTTTAATTGCAGCTTTTTTTAAAAAACATTTTATTAGGGGCTCATACAACCCTTATCACAATCCATACACTCATCAATTGTGTAAAGCGCATTTGTACATTCATTGCCCTCATCATTCTCAAAACATTTTCTCTCCACTTAAGCCCCCGGCATTAGGTCCTCATTTTTCCCCTCCCTCCCCGGTCCCCCCTCCCTCATGAGCCCTTGATAGTTTATAAATTG